CAGGCGTTCAGATACACTCCTTGCTGTTTATTTTTTTCTCTTCACTTTTCTTTGCGCCGTCCCCACTATCGGAACTCCTGGAACAGGCTTAGTTAAGAGTAAACTTTGTTATCGTGTTTATTTGCAATTGTTGTAATTAGTAAGGAAAGTATGTAAATAATTCGAAGGACAGACAGCAAATTGTTGGTCGAAGGAAACAATATTATTTTTTATTTGAAATCTAAATATTTCTATTTGCTATTATTTTAATAAGTTTCAGGGCATTTCCATTTTCGGCGAGTAATAAGGAAGGTAAGCAAGTATAGTGTTGTGAAAATAAAAACATACCTTAAAAAACCTGACTCCGCCTTTAAGCTTGAGTGAATTTCGACCATGAAGAACGCGGCGGTTGTTAAAACAAATTAAGTCTCCTGGCTGCATGGTCACTGTTTTCTAAAATACCAAAGCAGTCTTTCTGTGACTAGCTGAAATATCAGATTTACATCAAAGTTGCTCGGGACAAATATGATGCAAAAAAGTGCAAACTTGGAGAAAATCAGGGACAAAAATAGTAAACTTGTAGCCGCAAAATTGTTGCCTTAAATTTTTGAACGGACGACTTAGCTACCAAAGAAGAAAACTTCCCCCTTATTTTATTTTATTTTTACGCAGCTCCATGGCTACGTACATGGCGGTGAAGTGAAATTAATTGCCACCTATTGTATGCTGCATGTGTTTACAGCTACCCCCGGCCAATATGAATTCAAATTAACCACCGGAAAAGAAAGGCCAAGGTTTCAAGCGCTAAACTGAAATTAACCCGCATATCCATGAACTGAATAATGACGGCAGCCATTTTCCATACCTTGATTGGAGATTCATCAAGAAGCTTTGTAAACCTCCTATATGCTTTAAAATAAGGCTCAACATCTGCCTATGAATGATCAAACAAGGTCAGTTGATTGTGGCCGTACGAATGATAGGCAACAAGAGGGAAAGATTGCCTGATAAAAGAAGTAAAAAATAAAGTTAAAATATACTCTTAAGGATCTGAAGGTGTACGGCCTATCGCAGTATTGATTGCGCAAACCTTGTCAGATGTAGTGATGCTATTCTACTGCCCGGGCCTGGAGTAAAAAATTTTAGGTGCAGGATAACCCCTTTTTGGGGGTTACTTTAACTCCTAATTTAACTCCGAATTTGGGGTCATTTTTTCCTCCTGAAAAAGAGTTCCTTTTACTCCCGGTCTGGAGTTAAAATAACTCCGAAATGGGGTTATTTTTACTCCTTACATGGGTTGTTTTTGCTCTTTTTGGAGTTAATTTAACTCTGAAAGTGGAGTAAAAGTTTTAGGTACAGGATAACTCCTTTTTTGGGGTTATTTTAATTCCTCAATAGCTTTGGTCACACTACGGACTTTTACCTAGGCAAACCGATTTACCTAGGGTAAATTCATGAAAAATTTCCCGAGGTAACTTCATCTCGGGTTTTGTTTTACCTAGCTAAAAATTCTGGGAAGGTCACACTACTGATATCGGCTCCCAAGGTTTTCACGGACAGTTGAATTTTTAGGAACGTAAATTCAAGAAGGCAAGATGCACAGGGATCTAGCCGATCAAAGAGACGTTTTTTTCTTTTATCTCGCTGTGATTTCTTACGCTAATTCAACGTGCAAGGTGAAGACAGGCGAAAACGTAGACGACTCGTGCCCGCAAAATTTCTTTCCCCGCGTGAGCTATGTCCGGTTCTGTCGTCAAGGCCTTCCCTAATGAGCGTCTATTGGCTAGCAACCTCGGTATTTCGTTTTTCCCTAGCTATCACTTTGCGGTAGCTGTCAAGGGAAAGTCTATTGTTCTCGAGACATATCCAAGCCCTAGACGATAAAATTTCCCCGACGTAAGTTACCAAGGGAAAAATCGGTCACACTTAAAAAATCAAGTTTCCCTAGGTAAACTGTCAACAAGTCGAGTTTACCTAGGTAAAAAGTCTGTAGTGTGACCACAGCTAATATCTGGGACCACTTTTACTCCTGACAAAGGGTTGTTTAAACTCCTTTTCGGAGTTAAAGTAACTCCCCAAAAAATAAATCCACTGTAAGGAGTTAAATTAGCCCCACTAGAGGAGTTATTATACCTCCTTGAAAATTACTGTGTGGCCACGATCAAGGACTTCTCGAAGGAACACCTTGTGCCGGACATTAGAAACCAAATACGTACGAAAAGATGGTAAGGCCAAACATACCTGTCACAGCTGGTAAGATTCTCTACTTGAGGTAAATATATAATACTACAGATCGGAATTCTAGAGGACGACTACGTGAACCAGACTTTCTCGGTACTAAGAAGTGCGCGGGAGTGAATCTACTGTCATTTTTGGCGGGAAAGCGCGATTGTCGATGTAATTCTACTACGGGTTTTAGCGAAAATGTTGCAGTGACGAAAAATAAAACAAGTTACTATAATGTTATAAGCCGAGTTTTATCATTTTGTGATCGTGAGAGGGATAAACCTCCTTCAACAGCAACAACCGTATTAACTTTTCTGTTGAAACAGTAAAATGATAGAAGCTCTCCGAAGTGTGTATTTTTTGAGAATACACGAAAGAAATCAAATCTACGCGTCCTCGCAGACATCTTCGTCCACTACAGGTCTCTACTATCGTTTAAGAAAATTCATTCAGTTAAAGTAACTCATTACAGTACATATTACACTGAAAAACCTGAGGCCAACGGTGCTCTCATTTTACGCTGCCCCCTCTCTCTACCAGCGCTCCGTTTTACGGGTATATTTAAAAATATTTAAAGCTACACGGAAGGGAAAAAAATCGAAAAATGGATTTACACGTGTAATCAAATTCCAAACCTGACCCGCACATAAGGGGTTTTTAGAGTATAGTTCCACATCTATGATGGTAAAATTTTTCAGTAGCAAAAAACTGTTCTGGTGGCCGTCATTAAGAAAACACAACATTTTCTCTCCTGAGTGGGGACCCTGTGTTCATGGTGGGAACTACCATGGGGTTATAACGTCTTCTCTTGGGGTGTGGATGCTTACCTCTGGTACAAATAAGGGACCCTCAAAAGCTGGAGACCAGTTGACAGCTACAATCTAAAAATAACCAAGCATAAAAGGCGCCAGTAATTATAATAGTCATGATTCCTATCAAGCGACAGTTCCTCAGTTACAGTATTTTCCACTAAAAAATGCAAAGAAAAATAATAACAGAAACGTGTTGTGTTAAGATGGTCCTAAAGAACCAGTCAGTTGGGTCTTGGTTTTTGTTACAAACGTCTCTTGCAAGACAACAATTCCGTTATGATGCTACTGGGCATCAGCATGGGTAAAAAGAAGATACCATTCCATTGTATCATTTAAACGTAAGTATTATTTTCAAGATCAGCTTTTTTATTTCTCTTTCTCTGTCAAATTCAAATTTGCAGACATGAAATTGTGGTTGACTGGCTGGTGATCTGTTTAATTGATAAAATTCAGTGGAATTCCATAGAGTTACAGGCCAAAGTGCATGAACGTTCTATTAAATCTTTGAAATCTATGGATACACTATGGAATTCTGTGGAAATCTATGGACACTCCGTGGAAGCTGTCTTTGAAACTCAAAAAACACTTCATGGAATTCCATGGGGTAATTCACCAGCATGGGGTACAAGTAAGGGCCTATTTACAAGGAGAGAGGGTCACCCTTGAGTTAGGGTTACCTTAACAAGTGGGTCAAAGTTAGCTCTGGTTTACAAACAAATTTCACAGGTAGGGTTAACCTATCACCTGGGTCAACTTTACCAGCTTTGCTGACGTGTTTCGTCATGCGTGACATTCTTTGTAACAGTCCAAGATTTGAAATAATCTTGAAGTTCTCTATGGAAAACACGTTAAATTCACGGAAAAAAGGGAAAATATCATCATAGACAGAAAATAACTTTTTCTTTTTCACATGTTTATAATTAAGCTCAGAAATTGGATAATACCGTTCAAATTGGCATGATTACTGGTCACGCATTACAGCAGAAAGTTGACCTGGGTAGGGGAGTTATCCCTAGCAGAGCGTTTACAAGGCAGGTAGGCCGTAACCCTCTTGTTAGGGTAACCCTAGCACTCAGGTATGGTTACCCTAGCGCTAGGGTAACCCCACCTGCCTTGTAAACTTGTCATGTGAAAAAAGAAGAAATATGCGAGTGCTAGGGTTACCCTGTTACTAGGGTAACCCTCGCACCAGGGTTACCCTCCCTCCTTGTAAACAGGGCCTCAACTACGAATGTGTGTGTTATAAGGTTATGAATGAATGTGCCCTAGCATTGAATAGCATAGAAAATTCTTGCGACTCTATCCCATTTGGACCTAATTTCTACCTGCATTTGGAAAACAGAGTGCCATAGGAAGGCACTACATGAACCATACTAATGGTATTGTTGGTACTGTTGATTAACTTTGTAAATATTAAACAGGTACACTACAGAGTAAAAAAAAACCTCATTGTACCTCATTGTCTGGATTAAGAACAACATGTGGTCTTTTGTACACTAGCTTGACAGGATAATCCCTGCAACATAAAGAAAAGAACAACAACAAAATGCTAGGCTCGTTAAAAAGGGTTTCTCAATGTTAGATTAAGCTTAAAGTGTGTTACATTATTCCAATGCATATTTTTAGTGGTTGTGATAAAGATGAAAATTTTCAAGTAAGAACAAATACCTTTCAAAGTGTATTTTCTGAAATGTTGCTGGTATACGCACAAGATTGTTGAAGTCATCAGGAAACTGTTTTCTCAAATCCTTAGCAACCTCAAAAGCATCTACAAATATGCTCTCGCCTCCTTCAACTTCTGGATCAAATCTAAGGATAGACAAACAGTATAATGTTCCGGCTATAACTTATGGAATTCACCATGCTGACTCAACACGCTGACGGGGGATGAGACAGGACTTGTATCCCAAATGATATCAACCCCTTCATTACCCACCCAGCCCATGAAACTGAGTTGTACCACACCACTGGTGTCTACACCCCCTACTCTTCCAATGAACAGCAGTGTGGGTTCTTTTACGTCCAAAAATAATCACAACCATGAAGAGCTGTGAGACGGATACTACAGTTTGTCGTTCTTATCTGAGAAGACTAGAATGTCTAACCATTTGTAGATGTCACAACAAAGGCAGCACATTCTCTTCAGTTATTTTGAGACCCTGTGTGTTGGTCGGGCCGGGTTTGCACCTGTGACCTCCCGCTCGGCAGACCTGTGCTTATCCATTTGAACTAACCGAGCGACGGTATTAAAGCACTTGTTACAGTACGCAGTGGAACGAAGTATCTCGGTTGCAATGCAGCCATTAAAGTTTCTCAAAAAATGATTTAGAATTTAGCTTTATACCTTAAGCAGTGAAGAAGCTGAAGTCCAGGTGGAGACTCATAATACATCAGATCCATGTGCAGAGCCAATTCAACATCAGAATACGCAATATTGATTGGATTAGGAACACTCAGCACATTAAATGTCTAAAAAAGACAGCACCACTTAACACTGAGATCATCATCAGCCACTAAAATCACTCACGGAATATCGTTATTCAATGCAGTTATTAGTACTGACTAACCATTCCATATATGGTTTCCTCAGGAGGTCCCATTCTTCTTGCAACCTGTTAGATAAAAAAAAAAAAGATTTTAAACACTGTTCCCTTGGACATTATCTTGCATCAAAGTGTATGTACTACTTTGCCTGACAGCTAGCATTTTCACATTTTGCAGAGTCTTTTCGTTGTGATCAGGTGACATGTTTAATAATTACAGCTTAAATTTCAGCTCAAAACTAGATGAATGAACTGTGTCAGAGTAGCAGCTTTTGAGAGAATGGTGACTATCTAACTTCAGATGAGATTATTATAGTAGCTATAGCTTCAGAAACCTTACGAACAGTCTCCTCGTCATCAATTGGCACTTGTTTTACCAATGACACCCCATGATCACTTAGTTGGCAAAGCATTCTTAAAAAAGCAGGAAACACATGATGGTTAAAATATTAAACTAGCATCAATAGAGCGCAATACAAAGATATGGGGAAAAAAAGGATGCTTTATACTTAAAATACTATCTGTCACCTAGTGTTGCAAAGGTAAAACTGTCTGAACGAACGAGGTCTACACAAGGCTCCTTGTATAATTATTTACTGTAATTACACTACAGGATTTCCAGCCAATAATTAGTCAATTATTGCGAAACTCATACATATAAATGGCTTACAAATTGTAAAGTAGAAATGGTGATGCGTCTTCCATGCAGCGAATAAATTAGTTTGTTTGTTAAAACATTGAAGATTAAAATTGACTTTTGGCTTTCCCAATTGACAATAATTCATTCTCTGGCCGTTATTCCAACTTGAAAGGAATCAAGCCACAGCTGACTTTAAGATGAACAAAAATAATTAAAAGCACTGCTATTTTTTTCTACGTGTAATTACATTTTTGGGACACTACAGCAAATAGCAAGAAATTGGCATTTGCTGAATTCAATGGGCCTTCCTATGGATTTTTGCAGAGATAAAGCAGGATATACCACTGGGCGGTACTTTTGTGCCTATAAACTTCTTGCAAAAAACTTGCAGTACCATTTCAAGAGAAAATTTCTTTACTATCTAGAGCGCTTATATCCTGAGCTCAATATCGATTTCAGCGCCATTAGTGAATTTTATACGGTGCTTGTATTCAACCTGTAAATCAAACAATATATACATGTACTTCAGGAATGGTGATTACAATGATATCATTTGTTGGGTCCCTGATACACACAATAGAGGGAACTTACCTCCAGAGACCTTCCTTAGTTTCCATCATTTCACTATACTCAACTTCTGGAAGGCTGTGCTGTTAAATAGTGATTAAAACAGGGTGTTTCTAAAACGAAGACCCAAAATGAAGACCTAAGACCTAAGACCCCATGGACTAAAACGAAGACCACATGGACTAAAACAAAGACCCCTTTGACTAAAACGAAGACCCCATGGACTAAAACGAAGACCCCATGGACTAAAACGAAGACCCCTTTGACTAAAACAAAGACCCCATGGACTAAAACGAAGACCCCTTTGACTAAAACGAAGACCCCATGGACTAAAACAACTGATGCTAGGCGCTGAGGGCAATGCCCGCTCCAGTAATTTGTTACGGCGATTTGGGAATGTTGTGGAATTTCCAATTTGGGAAAAAAAGCCTTCAATCGAGAACATTACTCGAGTCAAGGTTAACATTTAGAGTTTCATTTGTCTTTATGCTGGGTTTTATTTGTTTTATTTATATCCCCAGTGTCATACGCTGTTATGATATTCTGTCCTCTGTTGTTAAAAAATGACTCACCTTTACGGCTTAAACAGTTGTTTTTATGATAACTGTGATAAAAAAATAATAAAAGAAAAAGAAGGAAAAAGACAAGAAAAAAAAAGCGTATCCGATAAGACTCGATCCTAGGACCTTTGCTTCATTTATTTTAACCACTAGGCCACGAGGACTCTCTCACCTTGATGCTGCAAAAAGCTTTAATTTGAATAAGACTGACATCATCATCACCGTAAACACTTCCACTGTGGTTTAAAACATGCATTATATTTTCCGCAAAGAAACCTGAAGGAAAGGTAAGTGATAGACTTGACTATCACAATTAAATACTGCAGAGGAAATCAGATTCCACAACATTCCCAAATCACCGTAATAAATTACGGGAGCGGGCATTGCCCTCAGCGGCTAGCATCAGTCGTTTTAGTCCACGGGGTCTTCGTTTTAGTCAAAGGGGTCTTCCTTTTAGTCCATGGGGTCTTCGTTTTAGTCCATTGGGTCTTTGTTTTAGTCAAAGGGGTCTTCGTTTTAGTCCATGGGGTCTTCGTTTTAGTCAAAGGGGTCTTCGTTTTAGTCCATGGGGTCTTCGTTTTAGTCAAAGGGGTCTTCGTTTTAGTCCATAGGGTCTTCGTTTTAGTCCAAAGGGTCTTCATTTTAGTCCATGGGGTCTTAGGTCTTAGGTCTTCGTTTTTGGGTCCTCGTTTTAGAAACACCCATTATAACAGAAGTCCGTTGAGGTCAACATCTTTCATTTTCAGTAGACATTTCGACTGTATGTCGATACATGTTGACATATCATGTATTATAACTAAATGTTGAAGTCAAGAGGTTTTGATAATGGTCAGAATTTAATTTCATGCGCGCGCGGTAGCGATGGACATTTAGAAAAAATTCTAACAGGAAACAATGAAAATTTTACAAAGAAATGTGGGATAAGTAAAATAATTTGCGATACAACATGTCGTGCGATATACCTGAACACTAGGACCCGATTGAGACTGAAAGGTTGACTTATTTAGGTCTTAGTTGTGACAAACTTAAACTCCTACCTTCAAATCTAGAGCTTCCCAGAATGGAAATAAAAATACGAAAAAATTACCTGCGTCTTCCATATGATTCTATTGCAAATGGAACACTGCCACCTTGCTTAACCTCTTTTCTTCGGTAATTAATGACAATTCCGCTGGGAAACTCTCAGAGGTTGCGATTAAATCTTCAAGTACAAAGTCTTATCTTTGTATCGTGAGTTTCTTTGTCCACTGAAAAAGCATATTCTTCCTTACCACGTTAAAAGAATTTGGAGTTAATTCTCTTTATAAAATTTATAAATACGTTTCTACTACACGGCTTAAATCCAAGACCTTCGCTCCACAATACCTGGGCCAAAAATCATCTAAATTCTCTCCAAAACCTCTTAATCGAAAGCTTATTTCTTTGAATTTTCTTCGCCATTTTTGGTTGTGGCAATTTTTTGGTCCGCGGCTTTTATTTGATCATAAACAGCTCTGTATTTGACCACTCGAACTTTCCGAACATTATGGGCACCGGAATCTTTAACCAGCGGTTAAAACCACTGCGAAAGGGAGAGTATAACTTGATAACTAGTGTGTCTCTCACTCTTGTTATAAGTTTGATCAAGAGAGGATAAAGGGGACAGAGAAGGCATCCCCCATACACACCCTATTCCATAGGTAATTCGTCTCGAGTTATTTTTAAGACCACAGATCCCAAGAGGGATTAGACAACAGCCAATGACATAGCGCGAATGTGTTCCGCGTGGCTGACCCACGCTCAGAGCCACGCGTCCTTCACGAATAGGCCATTTTACAGTTATGGATGGAAGCGAGGCTGAGGGTGACCTTGTTTTGATACAAACCTTCCTGCTTTATTATGTAAATCAAGTTACTCTTATGCTAACTAGTATTTTTCAAGAACAATTTCCATAACAAAGCAAAGAAGGTTTGTATCAAAACAAGGTCACCCTCACCCTCGCTTTCATCCATAACTGTAAAATGGCCTATTGACGCAGAACAAAATGGCGGAAGACGCTGAGAGCGGTATTGCCATTCGTTTTGTCGACGAAAACGACTAAAGAGAGATTTCTGCTAAAGCTATGTCAGCGAAACGAAAATAAAAAAAAAGAATTACCCTTCCTCTCTTGTATAAAGCTAACAGTACAGCAGGGAAATCCTTAACACACTGAATATTCTCTCAGGACCATTTATAATTTACAGTTTGAAAAGAGCAATTTCTGGTTTCATTAGTCTTTTTTTATTCAACAAAAATAACACTTGGCGTCCTAACTTGCTTTATTGTACAAACGACCGGTTTCAATAGACCGGCGAAATTTTTCATTTTACATGATGAAAGCACTGAGGTTACGACAACTTCGAGTTAAACTGATTTCACGGGTTGTCAAAGAGTTTAGCGATTCCCTTTTCCCAGGTGTACGCCGTCTCATTTCGTTTCAATATTCGGGAATGCTCTCGACCTCTTTACGCTTTCATTGCCTTTCGGCCGACATGTTTTGCACGGCGTTTAGTCATGCGAAACCTCCACGAAACATCCACGCAGCGCGCGAGGTAACTTTATCCCGATTCTAAAAATAACTCGAGACGAATTACCTATGGAATAGGGTGTGTATGGCGGATGCGTTCTCTGTCTCCTTTATCCTCTCTTGGTTTTATACATCTCTTCGTGGTAGATCAGTAATGTTTTCACTTATTCTAAGCATCATTTAAAATGTCTGATTGCTGTCAGGAGGGTTAAATACCGGTCCTATATGCGGCTGTGTCCTTCTCATTTCACTTTGTATCTTCCTTGCTGGTTCAGAGTAACAATTTTCTCTTAGCCATTTTAAGTTAAGCACTCCTTGATGATCACTTTCAAGTTCCCAAGCTAAAAGGAGATTTTCCTTATTTTCTGAAAAAAAAAATAGAATAAATTAGTAAGCTATTATAAGAGCATGAGTATTGTCCTGGTACCAGGAACTGAACTTGGGACATCCCACTCTGCAGGCCGGTGCTCTACTGAATGGGTTCATCTATCTGCGGCCAAAATATTCTATTTTCTCGCTATGGATATCGATAATACTTTGTATAACAATGAGAAGAAAAATCACAATCAATTTACAGCTAGGATTATATCAAAAGGCCCAAGTTAATGATTTGCCTGTCTCAACACATTTGCAACAAAAAAAAAAAATCAGTGGTATTGTTATCGAATTTTTCTTGGACAGTAAAAAGGCTGTCTATGTGTCTTACTCTATAGTGATCTTTATAATTATGTTAAGAACAGTAAGCATAATGAGGCTGAAGATTTTACATTAAAGGGCAATTCAGTAAACGTCTACAAAAGCCTTGCATAGTACAATGTACGGTACATTGAAATCAACTTGTTCGAAACTTGTGAGACATATAACATCAACACTGACTTTTAAGACTTTTAAGCTTAACTTACCCTACGCCCACTTACCGGAAATTGCAAAACATGATAGTTTTATTGGATCAGGAAGAGACGAGACATTAATAGTCCTCTGACCACTACCTGATTGCTTGCACTTATCACATTGGCAACAAAGCCGCAGCCAACAACTGTGGAACCTTAAATAAGTTAATGAACAAAAGAATAAGAAAAGTTTTAAAAGAAATGTATATATTTAATTATAGACATATACTATATCAACCATAAAAAATGAAATGACTCGTGTAGTTTTCCCGATCTACTGTTAGTTGTTAGAACACGTGATTAACCTAGTAGCTATTTGGGAGCGGTTGAAAGTTGTTACAATCGCCCGCGTAAATTTAAGAACAGCTGTACGTATAATTTTTTTCTAGGAAATCGATAACCATCAATTGACTGTTCAAAATTGACCCTTGGCTGTTTCCAGTGGAAACCTTAAAAGGATCCACTGGAAGTCACAGAATGATGGGAGGAGGTGCAAGCCCTCCCTCACACAAACACGCCCTCACTGACATTGCCTTGTCCTTGTTCCATCCTATTTAACTCGTTTTGGTCACCTGTGTAAATCACAAATGTTCCTAGTCATAGCCATGGGGTGTCATGGGAAAACAAATTAAGACATACAAGCTAAAAAGGTCTATTTCCATCTTTGATTTCAGCCTCTTGTAAGCGACAGTTGGACACATGGTGTCCGTCGCATGAACTACGCTACTCAGCAGACTCAGAGCCTGTATACAAAGTACTTTTAGAGACATAACATGACAACATATATCGTAACTTAGAACGATGGGCACAAATGAAGGGACATCGTTAATTATTTATAATCAGCGAAGCGGCAAATATGAATGCGAGTTGGCTAAGAAAGGCTCACAATAAGAGAAGAAAGGGCTAAAATTGGCCAGGTAGCGCTGATAAAACTTGCTTTCCTGCTTTCCAAAAGCCAAATTCTAAAAACCTATGCGCGGGTTTTTGAAGAAGAATGGTGTAACTGCAATTTGAGACTAAAACGAAGAAGATTGAACAAGAGTACGCATTATCCTTTTGAACTTGAAAATGCAGTAAAAACGGCCATTTTTAGTATGGAGTTAATTTTCGAAAGGGATTTTCGGAAAATTTACACCGCTTTTAAAAAACCACGCGCGGCAAATGAAAGATTGGCCTTTTCTCGAACAGAATCCGTTTAAATTTTGAAAATCGCTTGAGTAGAACCACTATCCATTTCACTTCGAAAACGTCTGGTAAGAGTTGTGTTCGATAATAGGGACCTTTAGCATCAGGTTTTTCGTGGGAAACGGCAAACCGCAAACCGCAAAATGTCACGTGACCACGGCCTTGCGGTCACGTTTGCAGTTTGCAGTTTACGTTAGAACCGCAGGAAGGGCTTCCAGCGGTAAGTGATTTACGGCAAGGTTTTTTGCCACGAAAAATTGTACAGCCTCGCGTTTAAAGGTATGAACTAGCTTTTTGTATCCGTTTGCGATGTGTTTGTTGGATTTTTGATCTCGAATCAATGAATTATTGCTGATTTTTGGGCGATTAAAGTTATGCACTTCGACTTGATGAAAACAACATGGCGGCCATAAACAATGAACGCGTAGTTCAAATCAATTTTATATTCCTTTCTGCCGTACTAACAATGGAAAGTATTCTGTTCCAATCCAGAGTTAAATTTTTTTTTCTATCTTGTTACTAAATTCATAACTTAACTCAGTCTCTGTCTGGTTCCTTTTTTTAACGTATCACTCCGCGAATATCATTTTATTTTGCTTATTTCTTTTAGACTGGGGAGCTCAGGCTTCAAAAAGCCTTCTGGTTTCTTCTGGGCTCCCTTGCAACCTTACAATTCGTATATGTATTCTTGTATTGTATCGTATTTTGGCTAAATAAAAGGGGACTGAACTGAACTGAACAAATCGAACTGAACGCCTTGCTAAAGTTTGAAATCTCGGCAACGCGAAACTGCAAACGCGTAACAGCGGTTTGCGGTTTGAGGTTTGCGGTTTACCTGATGCTAAAGGTCTCTAATGGCGGGTCTGGAGCAGCGAGCTGTTGTCTTAGGCCCAAAACTGAATAACAGTGGTTGCCAAGACTGAGACAATGCCCATTCAAGAAAACCACTCAGTTGTAAAATAGCTCACAATTGCCTCGAATTTTAAAGCCAATGCAGTGCGACATCAGACTCATTCGAACTGCTAGCCAGATCGCGGAAGGCATAACGCTAAAATTGCCGAAAACGTAAACGATCGGGAGCTCTTTTCAGAGCCCTTAGAACCCCCGATCAATCCCCTGCTCATCCATGTGGTTCCTCCTTTTATGAATGTTAAAGGTCCTGTCTTCAAATAAATGGAGAAGTAGTCTGGGAATCGCGAAAAGTTTATAGTTATCCGAGGATATGTATTTATCATGGGTTATGTAACCTTTTCTTCAGGGTGTTACATGGTATGCTGTTCTGTTGCTTCATTAGCGGTAGACTATATATATTTGAGTTGTTCTCATTTATATTCATTCGCGTCTTACGACCGTCCCTACGCCCTCAAAATTAAATACCCAGTGACCAGGGGTTTCTCTTAGACGTAGTTTTTTGCATGCTGCTATACGAAAGGTTTAGCACGTTTTGTATGTTTACTGAATCATTGTTATACGAGCATAGTTTAGATCATTTTGTAGGGTTGTTTTTCGTGCTGTAATTTTTTACATTTCCGAGTTTTCATTCTGTTTGTTGTATTATTTTCATCCATTCTGTTGATGAAGGCGTAATAAACAGGGTCACACACGGTTCGTGTTGACACACCCCAATTGAGGTTGCTTGTTACATGATAAATGTTTTATATTTGTTTGAGCGGGGTAACGAATTAGAATATAAGACATTTTATTTGCCCCAACGAAGCATTCTGCCATTAGGATACCAGCTTTTTGCCAGAAAGTACAAGCCATCACAAACGGTAAAATACGAAAAAGATTAAAAGCAGAGACTTGGGTAAAACTACCGTAAATCCTCTATTAAACCCCCGGGGGGCTTATTTTTGGCTTATTATGGTTTGTTTCTCGTACTTTCTCGCATTATGCTTGGTCTCTAATGCGGAAAGTTCGCAAAAATGGTAAACTAAATTAGCCCATTTCTAACGTATTCATACGTGGTTGTGTGTCCGTCCTTCCAATCTATTTGTAAGCAGTTTCCAGATACCAGTGGCTTGACATCTGTCACACTGTAGGTGGACTGCAAATCACAATACAGATACTTCAAAAATTCGTGCGAAAACTAATCCAATGATCGCTTTTGTTTTGTTAACAGAACTGTTTCAGGGGCACCAAACGACAGGTTTCTGTAAAATATCTGTTCGGAGAAGCAAATATTGCCCAGATTTTTCTATTAATTGAGGATAGCTGAACATTTCTAGATGACCGTTGCATTCATTTACAAGTTTCGAAGCTAATCTAATAGATTCCCTACGATTTTCTGAAGTTTAATTTTTCACATTTCACTCCCTAGATTAGGCTATTTCCGAAAAAAAAGGAAACCTAAATTTTTACGGATTCAAAACTGTCATGAAGAGAGGACTCAGAAAAATTCTCGCTTTCGTAATACGTTAAATTGCATCTAAAATTTTCGGGAAAATAAGACTGAAGCCCTTGTAATTTCGAAAAGACTCATGCAAGCTCCCCTAGGATGACCGAACAAATACAGATTTTATAGCGCCGCTTAGAATGTATTTCTTCAGATCTATAAACAGTCTGTATAGCCTAAAAAGCGTTTTCAATGTATTTAGGAGGAAAGCGTCGTTGGGTACCCTTGCTGTTTGCTTTCATACTCTCTACCACTTGTATTAGTGATTCCAATACGGGCTAAACTTCAGGGCCCAGGTCTTCGAAGGGCGATTAGCGCTGAACTAGGGTTTTAACCCAAGTTTTTTTTTTTGTTCAAAAGTATTTTTCAGGATAATTTTCTCAATTCTTTTAGAGCGTAAAATCATCAAATTGTGCACAAAAAAATAAAACTGAATTTGCTTTTAAAGTTTTCATAGCTGAATTGAAATTTTGCACTAACCCTGGGTTATAACCCTGCTTTGAACAACCAAACCCAGCCCACGTACGTTAGCGGGCCTGTTGCTCATGTTTTATAGCCTTATTATAACAGTTTTTCCTTGAGAAGTTTTCTTTTGCATATAACTTATATTAAGTGTAGTCTTAACTCGTGGACACGTATATCTAGACATGCGGTAATTCTAATTAAAGTCAATTAGAGTGAGCTATTAAAATAAAAAGAAAAAAGCTACAAACTGGCTAAAACAGACACAACTAACCTGAGGTTTTCCTCGGAGAAAACAACTGAAGGATTTAGTTACAGACGTTCTACTGTAAAGGAAGCTTCTCAGCATGATTCCAACTCGAACTCCAACTGATCTTGTTTGAGTTTTAGAAGTTAAGATAACTCTTCAATCTGGAGAGAGGTGGCTCTAGAATTAAAAATATTTTCAACTCAGATCTGTAACACAAACATTGGAAAGTCGAGAGCCCAATTGGACATCACGCGAGAACATTTTTTTGCTCTCATTAAATCTCCTTTCTTCACTTCATTATAAATTAGTGAAATTCGAGTCACAACTTTTTGTCCATGAATTTTTTTTCTCGGGACAAAACTTTTTGCTCGTGACAAATCTTTTTCTTTTATATGACAAACCTTTTGTGCTTTTGTGGTCTGGGTTATACTCCGTGGGTGGTCTAGTGGGCTCACGCGTGACCCTTGCCAAGATACTTTCCAAAATACGAGTTTTCGACCGCCAGATCTGCGGTCTTCAACAAGCCACATGACTTAAAAATGAAAAATTCTAAGAGGTCCGTACCCGACCCCCTTGCAGTTTTTTTCTTCGCAGCAGGGACTGTCTGAGGCTTATTCTAACGCCATGAGTAAAGAGGAGAAACGATATTATTTCTATTTCCAACCCAAGTGTAAAACGTTGTTCTATCCGAATGAATCCCAACCACTGGAATATGATATGGCAGTACTCCAGAAGCAGTTCTGAATTGGACACACATACCAGAACGACGGAAGAGAAGGATGAACACTGTTTTCCTGTCTGCTGTAAAGCATTTGATCTTATCATCATTTGATAATAGGAAAGCTAGCTCTAATACATTGCGTTTGGCTTCTTTACCAAAATGCCCCTGAGTCGAGGCTACGTGAACGTGCTTCAGTGTGAGAACATGCATTAATTACATATTTAGATTTAGCATTATGACTCGAGCTCTCATGATTTCAGTCAAGATCTCACATTATTGAACTAGATCTCACATCATAAGTAGAGATCCTGCATTATAAGACCGGAGATTTCGGAAATGTAAGCTGAAATCTCACATTGAAGGACGAGATATCACTTTATAAGTCGAGATCTCACAATTTTAGTCGAGATTTCGCATCATGGGCCGAGATCAAATTTTCGAAACGGATTTCACTATTAAAAATTAACGTTGAAAAAGAATAACGAAGTTTCGACCGTTTGACGGTCATTTTCAAGTTGAGAAGTAAAAAACATGCTCATTGTTTACTTCTCAACTTAAAAATGACCGTCGAACGGTCGAAACGTCCTTCATTTGATCTTTTTTAATGTTAATTTTTATAAGCCGTTTTACTGTCTACCACTAAGTTAGTAAATGAGTAAGAGGAAAACAAGAGTGTGGATTCCGGAAGAATAGGAAATGAGAATTTTGGAAAATATTGAAAAAAATAACAGAAAAAATAACAGTTCGAAACAAAAATATTGAAATGCTTGTGTGTATAATAAAACGTTCGAAACCAGAAGCGATATATTTGTTGAAAATTGTTTTACGCAGTCTAGTGAATTTAATTTTATATGCAAATTACACAACACCCAGCTAACACCCTTTATGACTCAGTCGTTCCACTGACTTATAACGATGAGCAATAAGCAGTCAGTCCACGTTTTCTAATGGACCCTTTAGCTAGCGATTTTGATGTTGCATTCTTTTATACATACTTATTTGTGTATAAGGTAGAAATGAAAAAAGGAAGTGTGAGCGGCTTTTTGATTGAAATAATACAGTCAACACTGTTGACAGCGCTGATTCTATCTACCGTTAACAGCGCTAATTCTACCTATTCGTTTCTGTTCTTTTTTCCACTCTCCATATTTTTGTACTTTATACTCCCACTCCATATAGATTACACTCCTCATTTGTCCATTCCGCACTCCGCACTCCGCGCTCCACACTCCACTCTTGGTACTCCTAAATTTCAACTAACCACGTGCAAATAAATTCGTTGATCGGGACCGGGCTTTACACTTGTCCGCTTATATCTCATGTGCCAGAATGGATTGAAGTTTGACACTCTTCATAAATACCGACTGTTCGTAGATAAATCGAATCCATTGATTTTAAAAGGGGCAAATGTAACGGAGCACAAATAAAATTAATGAATGGCAGAGTGTTCTGTTGTAAACTTCACACGTGGCCAAAAATAGCTGAATTGACAAAAGAATTTTTGTCTTTAAAACCAAATAAAACAGCATAATAAAATTAACCTCTGTAATGTCAGTAATAGTTATTTTTGCGGGAAATATTAAAACAAAAGGAACAATTTAGTTCCTAGATTCATAATTGCAAAATGTGATCGCGTGACTTCAGCATTGCATTACGCAATCTTAAATAGACAACACCAAGACTTAACATCCCTGCATAATTTGTGTCTGTAATGAACATTTATTTTTGAAAAGCAGGAGATTATTATAATAATAATCCTCCTTTAATCTCCTCCTTTTCAAAAATAGCAAAAGGCAACTGACTGTTATTTTTGCAATTAAAATACAACTATCGCATACACTTGCGAACTAAAGCTTCGTAACTTTTTTTCCTCCGCATCATGTTCCGTGCATGGTATCACAACTTACTTGAAACTTGCGTCCTTTGTTTTCCAACGGGTTAAAGAAAAATCCATGCTATTATCATATCATAGCCAGGCATTAAAAGATCGAAACTGGCAGATGTTGTTACCGAAAAATATCTGACTGTTCCTTGTAGCGTGAGAGTGCAATATGCAGCGTCACTTTATGTCACCAAGCTTTCGAATGAGAGTGTAAGTCAACATTTCTATTTCCGGTCTGCACCAATAGGCTTTTGGCAAAGACATAAATAACGGTTCAATTATGATAACAGCCTGATATAAAATAATCCACCGATCTGACGAGTAGTAGTTTTAATCATAAAGCCGCTTTTGAAGATTTTCCGCATCCTTCCTTGTTGATTTTTTTAAGGTTAAAATTGGGGGAAAGTGATTAGAAAAGTGCTCATGCCCACTGGGAATAGGTTGCTATTGAAGGGGCTATATATGTCACGCTATTTACAGTCTTCAAAGAGCCAAATGATTGTATTTTTGCATCAATTCGAATCCAGAGATAATGGTACAGTTTTGTTATTTGAGATTTTAGTAATTATAGCAGGCATTGACACTGTTTCCTGTCTTCTTTTACAACGATGGACCTGGATTCAAACTTGAAAGACGAAAACGCTGGGCCAACTTTTACAAATTTTAATGCTACGCCTGCGAAAATCACCAAAATATTATTATGGTTTGGTGCTTTCTGATGAAATTTTTTCGATATATATCTTCTTATAACTCTTCAGGAGCATTTTTGCGTAAGTAGAGGCACTAGGTAATAACGTAAACAGAGAATTGACCAGCAGTAACTCCGTGACATAGCCCCTTAAAGGGTAAACGTAAAGGTATACTGGGTTTGTGTAGCTCTCGTAGCTCCGTAGTCCATACAGCTTCAGTGGCTGCGGGACACTACTCCTCAGTCTGTTGAGCGTCGAAGCCGTTTGTGTCAGGTTTCTGTTAACGAATACATCAGTTAGCCGGACAAGTAACGTAGGACGAGTACGACAACTACTCGCTGCAAACTGAGATCTTGGTCTTGTTCGATCCGAAAGTATTTAGAATTAAGTCCCCGTTACTCATTGAACACTGTGGTGTATGACGTCATACATGTGCTCTTGCATCATTCTCGTGATAGCAGCCGCGTGTCACATGTTTTCAGTCATTCGAATCGTAAGCGAAATAAATGTTTGTTGGATTTACCTGGTGAAGCTCGTGAAGCTGGTGAAGACTGGACCGGTAGTGACTTGAAAATGGCGGACAACAATGTTGCCGGCTCTCATCGCCAGTCGTATTGCATGCGTTGAAGTCAATTTTGCTATTTTGACGACAACAATTGGCCATTTCAAATTCACTAAAATTTTGGGAATCTCTTAGTTCGAGACGAAGGCGTGTAAAACGTCTTCGTTCTGGGCCTGGTCACTGAAAGGCCGATTAGCGCTAACTAAGGATTAAAATTTTGTCCCACTTTTTGCATTTATCTTCCTGTGCATTGCTTGGATTAAGATTTTGTGTTATCATAACTGTATCTCAGTGTAAAAACTTAACAGTATTTTGCTAGCTAAGTTACAAGCTCGTACTGACAAGAAAAACTGAGCTTAAAGTTTGGCTTAAACTTGGGTTTAAACTTAACCATCTTTCGAGGAACAGGGCCCAGAACCTTGTCAAAGACAATTTTTGTTGGTCGTCTAGCGCGCGGCAGGTGCCTGGTGGGACATTGGCAATTGTTCTCGATATAGCTACCACACTATTCAAAAATGCCGCGAAATCATATCAGCTCGGTTTGCGCATGGCTTCTAGCTGGTAATCGTTTTCGTGAGGATGGGTGAATCTAAACCGGATGCACCACACCGAATTCGTGTTGACGCAAGGGTATGCGGGCTATTTCAGCGTATCCGAAATCGTGTGGACGTGACCTCAAATCGTCAAAGCCACCTGTAGGCTATTAATGCGAGCGCGGATTGATGACTGTCACTGAAGACTCAACTCAATCACTACATCAAAAAAAATTACAACAACGACTTCACAAACTTATATCGTCTACACTACTTACGTCGATTACAGAGTATTGCCGAGAAACGTGGTAATAAGGCCGCTGAACAGCACCGCGCAAAAAAGAAACAGAAATTACCTACCAGAGACGTGAGAGACCCAAACTGCGCTAAACGGCACAGAACCGGACACTAACTGAGTCCGCAATTTTCCTTCCCGTCCCTTAACGTGACTGAAACCTAAGTACTTCTGCCCTTCGGACACTCACTGACACGTATACGTCGAATACGGACTGAGGCTATTGTACTATAGTATCTTGCACTGAGGCCGTCCAGTCTCCAAGTCTCGTCAAATCGAGCTCACACATCGCCAGGAATTTAGAACCAACATGCGCCGCTTTTGATACGTGGCAATTTAAAAAATATTTAACGCTCTAATAGCGCTGTTCTATTAAAGAAGACTGATAAGAAAATATTTTACCAAACATTTTTAAATCCCTTGGCTTGGTAGTATCTACAGTGTACTTATGTGCTTATACAGAGCCCG